ATATATATTATTATTATTATTAGCACTTAAGTTATGAATTCATAAATATATTATCAGCATGTTTTACTTCAATGCATGTTGTACTTTTATATTAAAAAAGCATGGAATTGCTAATTAACATATTCAATGACCTTGGCCAAATAATACCTGCTGAAGGTTACCTCCAGCAGAGCCAGAACTGAGCACGTTATAACTTGTTAATTTATATTTTGCTATATCAACCAACATAGTGAGCACTTCAAGTTGAGTTTGATAAACATGATGKATTATGATCTAAATTGGGTACTACAAACAACACCATAGAAGGCATGATGGRCCATAGATGGACACAAGATGATTGAGCACAAATCAGACCACACACGTTATGCAGCATTTCATTATCTTCGAAAAGGTTTATAGCTTTAATATCAGAAATTCTCTTATAAATTTAAAAAACTAGAGATTTTGACCTACCCATCCTCCCTGCTTTTCCATCCATTCTCCAGTAGTTTCTTCAATAAACCTCACTGTATACTCTGCCAGTTTGACCAGATCTTTATCATTAAGTTCTGTTGGTGTTTCTAGGGTTATTTCTCTTGCAAAATAGCAAAGCAATGCAATCTTAGACCATCCAACAAAACGTTTTTTATTACTGCTGTCTATAGTAACTTTTCTTGCTGCCTTTTCAAATTGTTCATACGTAAAATCCTCAAAATTCCATCCCCGTGTTAATTCTAATGGCTCGTCCAATAAATGAGGGTATGTGTCCATGATGTCCTGGCCTATTTTTTCAAGCATGACAGCTACCCTTCCTTCAGGTGACAGCACAGGGGTAGAAACTATCAGACAGTCATTGTTGTAATCGGTGTTTGGTGGAATATTTAGGTTTCGGGGTCTTTCCCGTCTTTCCCTAACTTTCGAACTGTCTCTCCTGTAGAGAAAAAAGATTGCAATATGCAATCCAACATTGTATTACTATTAGAWATATATTAATAAGTAAGTGAATATGGCCTAACACTGCTGAAGCCTGAAAAAGTCATTTTTATATTCTGGGTRAGAAGACAACTKGAAACTCTATATTCAAGTCTAAAAGTATTAAATCATCAATACAAATAGAGTCCCTAACCCCCTTTCAAACAATTTACTCCCTAAATAAATTTTTGACTCTCTGAATGAGTCAAAAAGAAAGACGCTTTTCTATAGTTTTCTCAGTCATTGTCAATTCCCACGTCTTAAAAACTCCTTATTTTCTCATAATGGCATTTCCCTCTACTATGATATCCTTGAGGAATAAACATGAGTACCCAGTACTAGCATGGGCCACTTTAAAACCCCTTTAGCTACTAGTTAACTAGGAAAATTTCTTTCCAACTTCCTGTAGAAAGGTCACTGACCGTTCTTACAAGACCAATATTAATTATATTATATCAATTATATGCATTATTCCACAAAACATTTCCTCATTCATGGATTTGGTTCAAACACATGAATCACCAAATGCAATTGTTAGGAAATCAATGAAATAKTTAAGGAATATGAAACGTGCGCACATATCTCTGTACTCTGAAATAAACACGATGGGAGCTGCAGAGCATGAGAGAAGCAAGCTTGAGAATCTTTATAAGAATAAGAATTTTTTTGTATAAAGCTAGTAAGTTCATTACTCAGCAACGTCATAATCAAATCTACAGTACTATATTTACTGACTGTCCAAGGTTTAATTCGATTTTAAATATGTCATTCCAGAGAGCCTTGCTATATCCATGTTAGAGTTTTAATATCTTGAATGTGGCATATTGATTAAAGTCTCCAAAAACATTTAGCATAGGAATGTTAGCAACTCGCTATGTGTCTTCCTAATTAACCCATGTTTGGGGGYGGGGGAAAGTTTGACTTTTGACTTCATTAAATTACTGATTACWCCATTATCATAATAACGTGACCAACAATGGCTAGGCATTGGGTTTTAGAATTACTAGTATATAGCTAGCTGTCTGATTCGTCAAACAATRAAAATGAATGTGCTTTATACAACCAGGTCATTATTTGTTCAATGAAACAATCTATATTTTAATGCATTTACGCATGATTTAATGTGATGCAATTATAAAATTTCCTTTTTCCTGTATTGCATTCATAAATATAAACCACATATATAATTATTTATCAAAATATCCTTCATTCCTTCATTTACTAGTAATATTACTATTTTTGACCCTGCAATAAAAATTCTAGCAATTGTGTTCCAAGATAATCACCATTACATCATGTCAAAGGTTAATTTATTAAAAAAAAATCGTGTCTAAAATCAACAATGTTACAAAATAAAATAAAACTCACTCATAAACAATGGAACTTTTTTGAAGTTTCCTTGTTTGCGTTCGTGCACTGAAAAGAAATCATTACACTGTAAAAAAAAGCTAAAAACAAAACCAAAAATACGTAGTAATACTATAACAGGTATCTAGGCCACAAGGGTATTGGATATATTTAAAAAATAATATCTTAATCAGAAAATGGGTTTTTTAAATAAAAAATTAACTAATATAAACTGCACTAAAGTACAAACGTACAAACAAATTATACGCTCATTAACAAAAATATATATAAACTATCAAAATAATATTTACTAACCTTTCAGCACTTCTTCTTTTGAGTCCATAGCKAGGATTAAAACTTTCTATTTCGGTCTTCAAGTTAAGCGAAAGTTTCCGCCGAAGAGGAACAGCCATTTGTTGGAAGCGTTTTCTATTTGACTCATAAGCAGCYGCATCGCTATTACTTTTTGCAACTGCTAAAGCTTGTTTTAATCGTTCAGGACGATTCTCCGACTCCGAAAAATTCCTTGCAGTTAGTTTTTCGGCGGGTAGAGAACCTAAAAAGTCTAGTAAAACGAGTCGAGTTTCTTCTTTGAGACGCTCGACGGATGCACATCGTCGACCCATATTTTTGTTGAACGGCGAACGTGAAGAACTAGGGATTWTTTGCGTTTCTGGTTCGGATTCCGAAGCTGTATCGCACTCAGAGGATGGGTTTTCTTCAATTTCTTCCATATTTTGGTCAGGCATTCCTCTTCAGCTTTTATTATTTTTACCGCAGGAGGTTTTTTAGTACTTCTTACTTAGTATCTGCAAGTACATGTAGTTCCGTTCTTGAGTGTCGTTTGGAAAAACCAAAGCTACGTGACCAACAAAAGAGACTGGGCCAAGTACATGACATGCAGGGTATCTTCCGGGGAGGGGACGGGAAATAATTATATAAACAAACCTTAACCTTTCTAAAAGCACGAATTTAAGACTCAATACAGAAGCATGCAAACCTAAATGCCTATAGGATACAACATTGTTAAAGATCAATTCCTTAAACGAAAACTTTATAAATAAATTAAATTCAAAATTTGTTTTTTAGCCCTACCCCATTCAGTAATTGATTGGCAAGATTGCGTACATGATGACAAAAACTACGAAAGCGCTTATCAAACTGACAAACTATTTCATAAGGGAGGGGAGGTTTAGCAGCATTTTTAATACTCCTTAAATTTCTTATTCTAATTTAATCGAGAAAAAGAAAGCATAAAAAATAATTTAGTCAATGGTTTATTGTGGAAAAGCTTTTTTCATTTAGTGTTATTTACTTACTTARATGATTATAAAGAATTTCTTTTTCATTTGTGTTACCCCTCCCCTGAATAAATTGTTTTTACCTTGACCCTCTACAGTTGCCAAAGCCTTCATGTTCGTCATATTCGTCGAAAAATAGGAAGTAGAGGAAATAGTAAGAGTTTTTCTGAGAAGATTTTTAAAATATTCAGACGTGATCCAAGTTATACGTGTATTGCAACTCCTCAATAAGTATTACAGCCATTGGCTGTCAGTATAAGACTTTCATCTGAGCAGATCTYGCGAAGTTTAGACCAGTGGATTGTGTTTTAGAATATGGACGAATTCGACTCTCCACAAATGCCTGTACAAMACTCTGACAAAGTTCCTAATTTAGAGGAACTTCAGCGTCAAACCTGTCAGCTATTTGAAGAATTTCTACTTCTAGAGGATTCTTATTGTTCAATACTAGACGAACCTTTGCCTGCATCGTACGATATAAACAAAGAGGAAGCTGACTCGCCCGTCGAAAAATTTTACAAGCTAAAGACCGAGCCCAGCAGAGCAAGAGGTAATTTAACATCTTATTTATGCTGACTCTGCGTTAATTTTTCAATTTCACGAATTTTTAAASTTTCAAATCTAAGCCTAATAGGGTCTATTTCTTCCAAAACCTCATTTCTAGCGTTAAATAATAGTGATTTTATCTTAATTTCTAGTTTATTATCCGGTAAAAGCGCCATAATTGCTAAGTGAAATTCGCTGGTCCTTGAAATTTAAGTCGAATTTCCTGTTTCATTGTAATTTCGGTGAGATCAGTGGYGTACTTATGGCTCGTGCAGTATCATGACCTTGTCATGGTATAAATCATGGCATGTAATTGTAGTTGCTATGGTGATGTCATGAAATGTAATATTGACGTCATAGGATTGATGATACAGGAAATAAAAGGGCAAAAGCTAATTATTGTTTAAGGTGGCTGGACCCCCTCACGCTTGACCGCTACCTTCCACTTTTGGAAGGCTAGTGCATAAAC